TTCCCCATCATCTCCCACATGTAATTTCATCTGCTGTTCTTAAAACCAAAAACAATGGGATGATCCTTCCCTGTTAAACCACGCTAAGGCAGCCTATTACAAAATAAATCTTGAAAGGGCGAGGAAAGGAAACAAATGAGATGCCTTCAAGATTATTATTAACCATCTGTTTAATTGAGCCAAGTCAGAACTGAGCTAAACTCAATCTTTACCAGCCAATGTAGAACAAAGGAACAGGAAAGTAAGAAACAGCATGAAAAAAAGGCAGGCAAAACACGAGATGTTGGTGGGTGGCTGTTTCCTCACAAAACTCTGGCAGGTAAGGTGCATGGAAATAGAAGAATCCTAACACAAATGTTTCATTCACAAGTCAAAATACGAAGAACTGAGTATAAATACTTATGGCTAAAGATCTTCTAAACTCATTCTCAAATCTTCTTACTCATCCCCTGCTGGATTTAGCCAACGCTCACCCACCAGTGAGCACAAGCACAGGACCGTTTGAACTTCTGTAGGAAACTCCCGTTTCTCCTGAAACACCCAACGTGCAAAACAGAAACGCAGCAGCGCGCCATCTGATCTCATCACGTGCAATAAAGATGACAAAACCTTGCAGTTCAGCTGGAGAGCAAGAGACGCAGTCTCTCAGACGATCGGGACTATCAAGAAGCTATTCCAACTGAAACTTCACTTTCTGCAGGGCAATCCCTTCCCCACGCGGAAAGGAACTAACTCGGCAGGCACGGAGAGAGCCCTCACACACAGGAGCACCCGTTCCACAGCCTCCAAGCGCTTAGCCCCAGCCCAGCATTGCCCTGTTTTTTGCAGGTCCGAGCAGGACTTCTTACCCACAGTGCTTTGGCTACTTGCTCATCTGAAAAATATGGCATTTGCAAATTTATTTAGATCAAGTAGGCTGGACTGTACAGCATGACTCAGAGCACAAAACACCCAGCGCTGAAAGCAGGACCAACCAGTTTCCTCCTATCGTTACAGAAACAATGCTGTGATAAAATTAGCATCTCCAGGCAATCGCTCAGACCCCTTGAAATTTCTAGAATAAGCACCTGCTGCCAAAAAAAAACCCCAAAAAACTCAAACCAACCCCCATCCCCTCAAAAAAAAGTTTTGAACCACTTCAGCAGACAAAAAAACGCTATTGGCTTTTAGAATATGGACTTGCTCATCACTGAAGCAGGAAGCACAAACGATGGGATGGCCTTTCAGGGAGGGAGGAAGGAGAGGAAAGGCAACTTACAAGAAGTGGGTAACGAACGTTGGCCTGGGGGG